TATTCCCTTTGTTCCATGGGTGTCTGCCATGGAGAGCCAAGCTTGGATTAACTGAGCCTAAATCCCTGGGCAGCTTGCCAGAGCAATGCTAGCTCTGAAGCAAACGTAGCTCCAAGATGGTTTCAAGACTGGCTTTATAGATCAGTTCTTCTTAGGTGCAGATCCATGGGCACTGAGCATAATGCCTCCTGTCAGGCCCCTGGGGAGTCTTTCCCCACAGGCAGCAGTTGCCAGCTCACGCAGGAGCAATGTGAGCGTCGACAGTGCCATTTCTTTAGGGCCAGCCCTTCCCCAGCAGTGCTCCCTGGCCAGCAATGCAGACATCCTTTCACTGGACACTGCCACATTCCAGCAAAACATGCTGCCCACGCAGCACCTGCGTGTTCCTTGTTGTGGTGCCAAGCATTTTGATATATTAGCTTTTAGGTCGCTGTCATTTGGAGCAATATAAGAAAAAAGCTATTTTCCAACATCTTTCAATAGCTGATCTGAAGACAAGGTGCATTAAGCCTTGCAGGAGCCAACAACTCCAAAGAACTTGCCTCCTGCAAGTCTCCTCCTCACCCAAGGAGTTAGAGGTTATCTTCTGCTTCAAAGTGAAGTTACTTTTCTTCTAGACTTCTTTTGGGCAGGGAAAGAGAGGACTTTCAGTCCAGTTTCTGTGGAAACAAGGTTAATGCTCTCATCCTGTGTTGATTTTGCCTCCCCCTAATAACTTTTGAACACATTGGCCTTGTTCATTTTGACAGAAAGATAGAGGTCTAGAAAATAATTAAAATCTTACAAGTTTTGTGAAAATGGGCACTGATGTAGAAGAGAGAGGGGCCTGGTACTAACATCCTCACCAAAGAAAGGCTGAACAGGAATGCACATCTCACTGGGCATCAGCACAATGACACAGAAAACAAACCTGCAACCACAAAAGAAAAGCTTCAGCTGAGATTTACACTTCTTAGACTTTCAAGTCAGACCACAGACAAGACCAAAAAAGCCATAGTTCACAGAAGCCCTTGCTAGTTTCAAACTAAACTCAACATCCTTTGGCTATTTCACAAGATTCAAAACTTCTTGGAACATAGCTAAGTGTCACCTCCACACTGCACTGGCGTAACAACTTGCTGTCTTCATTACATCTGCCTCTGCTCGGGGAATCCAGGACGCAAAACATTCCACAAGCTATTTCAAATGAAATTGCAAGGCGTTTTAAAAGCCTTCGCTCTGTGTGCAGGAACACTGTGTTGTGTGAGCGCAGCAGGTAAAGAGATTCATATCACTGAAGTGGAAAGAAACACCTCTAATTGTTGTGGCTTGAAAACACAAGTGGCACGCGAGAGTATTATAAGCCAATGATTTGAAAACAGAAATGGGAAGCAGAAACTTGTGAATTCAAATGGCTCTGTGACCATGAGGAAACCAGTGCTGAACAACTGAATCCAGCTTCAACTGAAAGATCATGGAAAGGCATCTTCATTATACATTTTCAGCTTCCAAAGGCTTACAGGGACCGGTGTGGACTGAGCAGTTCCACTGCAGGCAGCAGCCCAACTCCTGTGCACAAATCAAGTGCACAAGTACATTTTCAGGGGAGCTGCATCTGACTGTCATTCTTTTTCCTTTTCTTCTCAATGCCTCTCCTCTTACCAAATCACCACCCCAACAGTAAAATGAGAACAGTAAAACACATGTCAGCAGGGTACATGAGGATTATCTTAAAACTGGTTTTACCTTTTCTCCTTTAAACTCCCAGAGAAGAAAATCTTCCTATATTTTACTTTTTTGTTGTTTTTCAAAAAGCAATTTATTTCTTTCCCAGACCTTTTCAGCTCAGTGCCTTGGAATATTTCCACCCTCCTCAGAACTGATGGGTGCTAAAATCAACCCAGAGGTGTCTGCTAGCAACAAACCCTCTTAACTTTCTGTACTAAAATGTCTATTTAAACCACTAACATCCAAAAATTTCTGCCTCAGCTAGCATTCTAGCATAGCACTGGCCCACTGTGTTATTTGAAATGAACCTGCTTTAAAAGAGAAGAGTGAAAATGAGTGATGGCTGAGCTTCTGACCTTTTGTAAGATACTACGTAAAAAGGAATCCAAAACCCAGCCTCCTCTAACTGTCGGTTTGGCAGAGGCACTTCCAATCTGAAACTCCTTGGGCTTGGAATAATAAAGGCTTTGCCTATAGCAGAGCTCTAGGGTGGGTAATTATCTATCTGAGAGTGGTACCTCAAGTCCCCAGAGGGCAGGTCCCTTTGTGCTAGGCACTGAGCAAACACGTAGAGAGGGGCCAACCCTGTCCTGAGGAATTTGTGGTCTAAATAGACAAGTGGGCTGAGCACACGAGAGGGGGCAACAGATGTGGCCAAACAGGTGAAATGAATCGCCCTGAGGTCACACTGTAGATTAAGGCAGATGTCAGGCACAGTGCTTCTCTCTCTTCAATCCCAACACAGTCCCCTAACTGGGAGCCCATGCTCTTCCTCACCAACTAAACCTCCTCCCTTGCATATATCCTCCTCTCCCCTCCCCCACCGTGAATCTTTCTTTTTGCAAACTTGCACAGTCGTCTGCCTCTGCTGTGGGCTGAGGCAGGGTGAGTTTTCATTATCACCTTCAGTTGGGCAGCCCCATGTTTTGCCTCCTCTCCTATTCACTGGCTTCCTTCCATATCTGGCATACCATTTGGCATTCCCCTGGTAGGCTGGGAAAGCTGAACCAGACTCCTGACCTTTATTTTTTTTAGGCAGGGACAAGGGTCCAGGTCTAACTTACACCAGTCTTGAAATACAAACTGCTATTGAACTGCTCTAAGAAAGAGACTTCTTTTGCAGCCTCAAATGCCTTTGTTTTAACACAGTTCTCAAAAATGGGGTAGAAAATTATAAAGTCAAGGCTTGGCCTGCCTTACAGCTTCCTTTGCTCCCCTTCGAGCTATTTACAAACACCTCCTACCCACTTAAAAAGCTCACTTTGGACAGTTTGGATGAATAGCAGATACCAGTAAAAAAGTTTTCAGCAGAAACAAACACTCACAGTAGGCTGGTCCAGCGTTGAACTGTTCAGCTCATCTTCCTGCTGCTGCTGCTGTTCCACAATGCTCTGTGGAAGAAGGATGCTGAGGCACCATCTTCCAGGAGAAATCAATGGCATATGAAGCCCCAGCAGGGAAGACAATTCCAATCCAGTTCTCCAAGCAGAGAGGTTCAACCTGTCTCTGGTGAGCACTTGAGGATGGCTGGCTCCAGGCAGCTACATGGCAAATTTGGATGGCTTATTTTATAACATCCTTTTCAACTGGGAAAATGGATCATCTTCTTTTTCTTAGGGTGGGGCGGATTATCAGATCTGAAGCAGCAGGTCTCAGCTGTGTGTACTGAGGGGATCAGCTGGGCCCAGGTGAGGAATCACTGACCTCACAACTTGCTACTAGCCTTGAAAACCTGTAAACCCTGGTTATTCCCAGGATTCTGGTAACAGTGACTTTCAGATGGTTACAGATCAACTGACAAGAAAGGGAAATTGGATTTTGCATTAAGTGTTTGCTATGCCAGACTGTTTTCACCATGACTAGCTGCCAAGCAGAGAATGGAGGTATGCTTTTGGGAACAAACAGGTAGGAATGGACACATTTTTTGGTTAACACAATGCCCCCAGAAATGCACAGACCTGGCTGCTTTTAGCCAGGGTACATGACAACCTTTCTCTCCAAAGTCATCCCAGCTGATAAAGTCCTGATTTTTTATTTCTCCAGTAAAGAATCAGCAGAAGGTTTACAGTCCTGCATTGGAAATAAAGCATGTGTACCCTGTACAGTGGGCTGAAATTAAAAAAGAAAAGTCAGTAGCTTTCTTGTATGAATCAACTGTCTGGATTTTAGAATAACCAGAAGACATGGTACTCTTGTCCTGGATTTTATTAGGAAATTAACAGGCTGATTGATAACCTGAAATTACATCGTGAAATCTCATTTAAAAAAGTGTTCAAAATCACAAGAATAATTTTGATTTCTATGAAAATGTAATGCCCAGATACAATTCCTCTTTATGCCTGTAAATTTCCACATCCTTAACATTTATCTACTGAACAACTGTGAGGCTGGATAATTGTAACAGAATCTGTAAAGTTAAATACAGGATACTTTCTCTGCAGTCCAAGTGAAAGAGATGAAATGTTGAAAAGAAAGCCCAGAATGTGAGCAGCACATTCTGAGAGTGTGAGAAGGGTCCCTGTGATCTCATTCATTATGTGTCAATATTTCAGATGCTCAAAGATATTACAGACTGGTAATGTTAACTGCTGTTCCAAGTTATGAGACTCTAGGGCAGAGGGAGAGAGACACCACTGTGGAGTACAGGCTCTGCAGTGAGAGGAACAGGGTGTACTGGATGTGTATGATGCTCAGAGTGTGAGGGCTGATATATCTGTCTACATTTCTCCCTTTTTGCCAGCAGTATGAGCTACCACCACCACCACCACATTGGACTAAACAGCTTTTCCTGACACTCTGTCGCTTTAAATGTTTCAAATGCTATGATTCAGGTGCTGATTGTCTGAAAGGGATGAATTTCAACCTTAGTAACCATAGCCCAACTCCTGCTCACGTTGTGTATGTGAAAAATCACCCTGAGCCAACACTGTTGGTTTCACTGCAGCTAAATGAAATGTTGATTTCGTTGCGTGTGGGGTAATGTGGTTCAGCACCACGGGTTGTAGCTGAGGCCTTTGGTTCTCTAAATAAAGAGCTGTCACTTTTCAATACCAAATGACTCAAGTAGGGAGTTGGATTTCTCAAGACATTCAGGAAACCATTCAAATTGTCATATATGTTGTGTGGAGGAGAGATGCTTCCCTGATCTGGGGCCTCAACTCCTGAGAGGATTGTGGATGTTCTGTAAGTGGCCAGCTCAAGCACTTGACCAGCAAAGTCCAGTCACTTCAGCCTCTTGTATTATTCTCTGTAAGTTAAAAACCAGTAGATTTAAGAAGTAGCAGGCCTTCTTCTTAAAATGCTATGTCAGGACAAGTACATTCAGACCACTGTGGTTTTTATTTATATATAAATTCTTTGGCAACAATTTTCTAGAGAGCAGAATAATTTTTTGCTGTGTAATACTTTATTGTCTCCCCATGAAAAACTGATATCTTAGAAAATCTATATCACTTTCCACTATAAATAGTACTGTTCCAGATTAAGGATTAGTTCCTCCCTGAAGAAAAACAGATTTAAAAAATCTAGTCATCATCTCATAACTGTTTATGTAGTAACATTGAAATAAAACAGAAAAAGAAAATCATTCAGTATGTGGTTTGTTATTGTCTAGAATGTTAGTGTATGTTTATACAATAAAAACAACATAAGTTATCCTAGTTTGTTTTAAAAACCTTAGTAGTAGAAATATATTGCTATCTGCAGATTCATAAACAGAATGCACTTTTTCCACCTAAGTTCAAGTATTATTAGAATATTATTATTACTATCATTATTATTATTATTGAAGGAGCTCTAAATCCTTGCCATTTTGCCTGTCTTGACATCATTTTGGTCTTTCTGAGAAAGAACAAGTTGTGATCATTTATACACGAACAAAATCAAGGTAGAGCGTCCAGAAGTTTTCCCTGGTGGAAGAAAGCCTGGCAATCCTTTGGCTACTATGAGCAACTTTAGAGGAGCGTATTTGAGACTATTGGTAGAGATGCAGTAGTCACGTGCTTTCTTGGTTGTCTGATGGGCTTAATTTCTTCCAGGTTCTCAACATTCAGTCCCATTTAAAGGAGAAGGGCAGAAAGAACCCAGCCCAGACTTGTACCACATCAAGATATGTCATCTTCGTTTCTTCTTGGTACTGTCAGTTGCTCATAGGTCGGCAGAGTGTTGTTAGGGAGGAAGAGATCTGAGTTGACGTTGTTGCCTCTCTGAGATGATCTGTTGTTCCCTTGATCCCCCTGCTGACGGGAAACCAGATGATGCAACATATCCGTAATGAGGTTCAGTTTCTGGTCCATTTGTGTAACCTACAAAGGCAGAGGGGAGCTTTGTTCAGTAGCAGCACGTGAGAAAATTGCAACAAACCAGGTGATACACATGCAATAAGAAGATGACAGTTTTCTTAATTGGGATCACAATAACCTCTGTGAAGATGCCTGTGACAGATTCGCAGTTCATCAAACAGATAATCAGAAATTTAATGCAATAGGTCAGGGTTGGATGAGGACAGGCTTGTTAATACTAACCTCTGGTATGTGCTTTGACACTCATTTTATACCTGGATGAACACATGACAAATGAGCTTCTAAAGAGATGTCCTGTAATACAGAACTAAGTCCCAGAACTGAGTTTCTGGTTTTGTTTGTTTGGTTGGTTTTGTTTGAGCTTTGTTTGTTTGTTGTGATTAGTGTCCATATTTTTGAAAGAACGACAAACTTCTGTGGTGCTTATATGCCTTAATTATATCAATATGCTCTAGTAAATAACTGCTTGACTTGCAGTGATCTAATCAACTCCAAGTTGGGACTGACTGATGCTCTTTGATACATTTGGGCCCAATTACCAGCTCAGGCCACAAAATGCCCATATGTATTTTTGCTGCTGTGAGCATATGGCAGCTGGGGTCTGTGGCAAGGGCTGGGAGTGGGGCATGACTCAGTTTTATGCTCTCACTGTGTCAGGATCAGTGACATGATCCCCATCAAGACAGAAACCAAGAATTCTAAGATGGCTGAAAACTAATTTCTTAACTGGGGGACTCCAGGTGTTAAGCCTCAATTCGTAATGCTCATTTTCTTCTGCCTTAGACAGACTCTCCCTAAATTATTTAATTCTTTTTTTTTTCCTTTTTTTTTGGTTTGTTTTTTCTGCTCCTTCATCTAATCTTTAGAAGAAAAAGTAATGAAAAATCAGATACCTAAGAGAAGTTAGGTTATGGATGCTATTTGGTGTCCATCTGTGTTATTCAGAAGAAAACTGAGAATTAAATGTTTCTAGGAGCACCACAGATTCAGCCTCTGGTTTCTTGCATCTTCCAGTCAAGAAGTATCCTGTATGAACCCTTCTATCTGGCATGGGAAACCTCCTCTCTGTGCTGACTCCAATGTACTGAGCAGGCTATCCCAAGGGGAAGAGGGCACTTCCAGCTTCAAAGTCCTGCTCACTCTCTCATCCTGGGCATGGCAAAAGCATTGAAACCAGGCAGTAAGATTCTGCCTTATGGCCTCCCACTCCCTTCTGCAAGCCTAACAAGAAAGCCTCGATTTTGCCATTGCAGTCTCTGACCCATTGATCCACAGGGATTCTAAAACTCAGAGTAAATTCTAGCCGAAAAGATTTAGTACGTTTTAAAAAGGGAAAAGAACGCAAGCAGAAAAAAAAAAAAAAAAGTGATAGGAATAAATTGTTGCCTAAAATATCTGCTAGAAAGCAGTGAAAGGCACATAAAACCACCAGAGAGAGCACGAGTGGGAGCAATTTATATGTGCCTGGCTGTCATCCAAGTATCACACAGGATAACAAAAGACAGTAAGGCTGAGCAGAACATCAACAAACCTGTAGGATTTCAGCAGAGACTAAAATGTTTTTCTACCATAGAGAAAATGGTGGGGGTTTTTGAACACTTTGTACAACTGGTAGAGAAGCAGATACAGTGATTTAAAAATATGAAGTGCCAGAGATTTATACTTTGCAGCTGGTTTTGAAAACATTAGGCAAAGCACCCTAGATGGTACATGAAACACTAGTAATTTTGGATGGAAATGGCTGTTGAAAGATGAGATTCTATGAAATGAGGAAGCTGAAGAACTCATAAGTTCAAGATTTCTAGAAGGAAATACAGATGGAAAACTGAGCAGATCATCAGGTTTTAATTTCAACACTATGTGTTCACTCCCTTAAAAAAAGGCACATTTTGCCCAAATGGTGCCCATCAGAAATGGCAAACTCATGATGGTCCAAGTGTGATGGTACAAATCAATGGTAGTGTAATCTGCAAAAATACCTCACTCCTGCATCCCCCACTGCCCAGGTATCATTTGTGATCCGAGACAGTTGTGCTGGAAGGATTGCAGTGAAAGCCTGCAGACGAACAACTATCTTGAGAGTCTGAAGGACAAGTTTTTCTTCTACAAGGAATGTCTTTTTGCCAATTATTCTAAACAAACCAGGGGATTTTTGTATGTATATATTTCTTAATTTGTGATTCCAGGCTGGGAGTATCAGAGGAAACACTGGAGATGTATCTGGAAAATGTGCATTTATGAAACTCTTGCAGTGATGAGCTATTGAACATGACAGTAGGTTGGACTGAGATCTGGATAGTCCTTCAACAGCTGTGCATCTTGGTGATGAAGTACTGGAGAGAAGTGAGAAGTGAAAATTCTTGCTGGGAAATAAATTCCCAGAGATTATTGTCTAATTTTTTCTAGGGAACAAGGTCTGGCTGCTGCAGCTGTGGAGTGCAGGAGGCCCACAGAAGCAGAGGCAGAAGCTAATTGCTATTGAGCTGAGCCATATGAGATTAAAAGTAAAGACCTTCGTCTTCCATTTTCCTGCTTGTTGGGGTAGGGCTCTAAAGACAAAAGCTTTTGTGGAGGGAGGTCCAGAAAGCTGGTTGTGTTTAATTGTTGTTTAATCAGTTTTTGCTTTCCAATAAAGCAAGCAATTTCCCTGGGGGTTCTGTGCCATGAAGGGCTTGCTCCAAGACACGCTGAAGTCAGTGGTAGTTCTTGGCAATCACTGGCCTCTGTATCAGTCTTGGACCAAATCACCAAATAGTAACATATTCTTTGGATATTATAAGAGAAGGATCAGTCTGGATTTCTGCACATTGATCTCCTTAGATGCTTCTTGGGACTGCATCAGAAAAGGTGACATTTGCAAATGAGGCAGCAGTGGGATGACAGGCCCCCATCCTCGGCTCTGCCAAAGGAGCATCTGCTTAAAGTATGAGATATTTTATAAAGAGAAGTAAAAGCCACCAGAAGGCATCTTCTACTGTCATCACAGGCCTCTGATGTACAAGAATAAGAGGCTTGCTGATGAACAGCTTTGCTTATTAGCATGCCCAATCTGCCTGTAGTCATCCAAACACACATCCTGAAATATATCATTTACTTGTTTGCTGCAGAGAAATTATACCCACTAGAAAAATGTCAGTGTGTGCAATACCCTTTTTATTAAACTAGCTTGATGTACTTAGCACAGAGAAGTGCATCATCTCCCCTGAATCATGCTTTCAAACATATTTACTTGATTAGAAATTAGCTACAATGCCAGAACGAATAAAAGTGAAGAAAACAGAAAAACTGCTGATGTTGCTCTAATCTTAACTGCTTTGAATAACTCTGATCTCTGTCCTTAAAACAGCAAACATTGTTAATTACACAGAAGAATGACTTAGACTGATTTATTTCCTTTAGGAAAAACTAAGTAAGCTCTTTGTAGATGATTTATGTTTCATTAGAAGCATGATGTTTGGATGATCAAATTCTTTATATGCAAATAATTTCCTTTGTATTTCACAGTTGTTGGGGAGAGGAAGCAGTGTTTGAAACTTCAGAAATTACACACCACAGTTAATCCTAATTCTTACCAAAATATTGTAGGAATACAAGATTTTTCCATCCTCCAAGTAGTTTGTTTTTTTTTTTTAAAAAAAGATCCAAGGATCATAGATTGAGCACAGATGGGGAGAAGCAGATTTAAACAAGTTTTGAATCTAGCTCTTGGAAACAAATAAAATCCTATCCATGCAGTGCACTGAGACAAAAAAAACAACAACCCCCAACCAAATCAAATAGCTCTTCACAAAGACTGAAAGGTTAGCAAACAAATCTTAAATGGCACATAATGAAGAAATGTAGTTTTGTCACAGAACAGATTTTTCCTCTCCCTGAAATGCCACAGAGGCACGTGACTACTCTGACACCACAGGCAATAGACCAGCAGGGATGATGTAGCTGCTATGAATCACAAAGTCCTCTTAGGTCATGTTTTCAGGAGCAGCAGTCCTCCACAACTAGATATAAACCATAGAACCACTGAATGTCCTGGATCAGAAGAGACCTTAAAGTTCATCTAGTTCCAACCCCCTACCATGGGCAGAGACACTTTTCACCAGGTTGCTCAGAGCCCCATCCAGCCTGGTCTCTAACATTGCCAGGGATGGAGCATCCACAGCTTCTCTGGGCAACTTGTACCAGTGCCTCACCACCAGCACAGTACAGAATTTCCTTCCTCATATGTAAACTAAATCTACTTTCATTTTGAAGACATTCCCCCTTGTTCTGTTACTGCACGTTGTTATAATAGTCTCTCTCCATCTTTCTTGTAAGTCCCCTCAGGCACTGAAGGCTGTAATTGGGTCACCCCAAAGACTTCTCTTTTCCAGGCTGAACAATCACAGTTCTCTTAGCCTTAGTGACATGCTTTTATAAAGGTATCAACTTTTACAAAGGTATCAAAGGCATTCTAGGAGGTACTACTGAACAAGATAGAGATTGTTCTTGTTGAGAAAACAAAATAATTTATCAATTATTATTATCTATCATATTTATCTGCTAAAATTCCTCAGATCTTCACATTATATTCATTTGTAATTTTAAGCACTTACAAGAAGTTTGTCGCATGATTCTGAAAATAATATGTAACAATAATTTATTTCCTTGCTTTTAAAAACAAAACAAAGCAAAACAAAACAAAAAACCTGAAACTAAGCCAAAATGCAGAAGCCTGAGTGGCTGCAGTAGCACCTAGAGAAGGGTTCCTTTTAAGCATCTCTGTAATAAGAACTAAAGAGCAGCACTTTGGAGACCTTTTCCCAAAACTTACTATAGGGATTTATCAGGAAAGGGCAAAGACAATTATGGAACTGAGTGGAAACAGTATTTTCAGCCATGGTTATTCAGGATAGTGGGAAAGCTGAAGCATTAAATTTGGAGTTTGGTATAATTTAGGCCACAAAGACCACAAATTATTAATAAATTATTCCAAGTATTGCTCCATGATCTGCAGGGATCGAGGT